AGTATTTCACTAAAGTATATACGTTAGGATTCTCATATTTTACAACCGCTTTGTCGCTCTCACTCCCGCTAAAAATGCGATTTGTGTATGTTGCACATTTGCCTCGTCCGTGGTCGAGCCTATACCAGTTTTGTCATTTGTGCATTCACAAATTACACTGAATGTACACAAAAATGGTGATTTGTGTACACACAAATAAAGGGGGGGTTGGTCAATTCTTGGACAAACACATAAACCGTCGGACCAAGTCAAATTCTGCCCATTTTAAATAAAAAAGAAGAAATCATATCGAAAACTGTAATCGAAAAAGGTGATGACAGCTATTGACTAGAGGTCAGACGTACAACGCATGGATAAATTTAAAAATAGATATTCTCAAACGTTTTGGCGCCTTTTTGTCCACCAAGAGGCATATTCTCAATGCATACCGCCCATGCATTTTACTGTAACAAGGCTCAAGACTCCTGACATTCGGTCGCACCCATCCCCATTCCATCACCGGAGCTCCGCACAATGCCGCCTCGTCGTAGCGTTCTTCGCCGAGAGAAGAGCATCACCAACGCAATTGATGCTGTCAAACGTGGCAAATCCGTCAGAGATGCTGCACAGACATTCAAAGTTCCCAAATCAACCCTTCACTTCCGTTTAACAACTCCCCTCAAGACAAAATCTGAACGAAAAACAGCATTCACAGCTGAAGAAGAGCAAAATATTGTAAAATTTATACTTCGCAATGCCACAACAGGAATTCCGCTGACCCAACGTCATCTATGTGAGGCAATCTCTGCCTTTCTTGCTAATCTAACGCCGGCTCGTCGAGTGTATCTGCCATTTAAAAGGGACAAGCCCAGTTCAGGTTATCTTCGCGCATTTCGTCGTCGGCACGCCAACGTCATTAGGTTTGGTAGGCTTACAATGATGCCAATTATAAGCGCCGATGGTGACTGTGCACCTCCCCTTTTCGTGATGAAGGGAAAACGCGTCCCGTATAGAGAGATTCTTCGAAATGGCACTGCAACACCCGAAACTCCCTTCTCCCGTTTACCCCGAAGGGCTGTATTGGCGACGCGCGAAGAAAATGGTGGTGTGGACAAGTACAATTTCCTTTCTTGGGCCTGGACGTTTGTTGAGTACACTCGGGACCTGCGCGTAGAGGGGCGGAAGATCCTTCTGGTTTATGATGCATACAGGTCGCATATCTCTTTGGAAGTGCTGGGTGTTTTTAAAAGCCATGGTATTGTAGTTTATGCGTTACCGGCGCACACATCGGGGAAAACGCAGCCTTTGGATGTGGTCCTGTTCTATGTTTTTAAGAACTATCTGAATGATGCAGTGAGCAACTGCTCAGGTTTTGATGACGAGAGAAAGCCGGATCTCTTCGATTTATGTGGTATTATGAAACAGGCGTATGAAGGGGCTTTTACTCGAACAAATATCAAGTCTGGTTTCAAACGGGCAGGTCTGTGGCCGGTCGACTGTTCTTCTCTGCTCAGTGTGGAACGTCCGTCAGATGGAACGAGTAGTGCTACATTTTTAACCGTAGACCAACTACAAGATGCGTATGATTCCAAGCGATTAGAATTACGTAATGCAAAACTGGGTGCCGACGCGAAAGTGCTCGACTGTGGATATGTAGATACTAAGAACGGATGTGTTATGACGTCGGCAACGGTTTTAGATCTCATGCGCAAACGTCAGGATGAGCGTAAGTACAAAAAGGAACGGGAGGAACGAGAGTCTTTACGGAGAGAAAAATGAGAGCTGCGAAGAGGCGGGTGAAGGTTTTGAATGAATGTAAGAAGATGTCAGAGGCACAAAATCGTCGTAGGGCTGGGATGGCGAACATGCCGGTGGATAATTATCTCAGTCGCGTCCGTTCCTTGAAAGTAAGAAGGGCTGCAGCTAAGATTCGGGTGCTTAATAGGAAGAACAAGTTGTGATGTGTCACTGAGTTTTTTTCAATTTTGCCTCAAAAGAATAATCACAAACCGGGCCAAATTTTGCTGGCGTCCGATCATTCGTGCATTTTTATCAATGTTTGTGTCTCACAGCAATGATGAATGTTTAAAGGACAACTTGGACAACCGCCACACAATGACCGCCATATCTGGTACGCAAAAGACATTTTCTCGCCGCTCCTAGCCAGTAAAAACCCATTTAAAAAGGACCACAAGAAGTCTTAATAATAGTCACTTTGTGGAATGTGTCCAATATTTGATGCACCTGCCTTTTATGCAATGTCTTCTTTGGCGCTTGCGTATTTATTGGTACAGTGAACCCTCGATATCTGAATATGGATGGTTGCTTCCTTCCGCATTCAATTAAAGTGCATATTCAGTTTCCAAAGATGTTTCATATACAGCCCAAATATGTAACAATCCCATAAGTTTTAACCAAAATATTGAGTAATGCGGGTCTGCTTGGCTTGGTTTGCGCGTTCGAGGTGTGTCCATTTTCGATTGCCCAGGAATACTGGAAATTGAACCACATTTATAATGAATAAAGTTATCATAGCTCAGTTTTGTCTCATAGAATGCTCTTGTATGAGGCCTGTTATGATTAAGATGTGGTTGTGGTATTCAGTTAGGCCGTATTCATGAATACCTCATATGTGACCTGCAATCAACGCTCCGGAGCTCGTTCCGAGCAATGGCATGCACATATCGCGGATATTCACATAACAAGGATTTCAGATAGCGAGGGTTCACTGTACTGTACTCCGCATGGTTTGTTGCAAGCACCGGCACACGTGTTGCAGCGAGCACCAATTGGAGTCAAGTTTAGATTTCGTCGTCTTTCCCTTCTTTTTCAATGACGGGACGTTGTCGCTTTTATAGAACTGCACTAGACCTTTCAGGGAAATATCGGAGGGCAGGTAGAATACCCAATCACATGCTGATCAGACAATCCTCGATGACTTATGGCCCATTGGTCTATCACAAATTCAGTGACGTCCCTTCTTTTCAATGACTGGACGTTGGCGCTTTTATAGAACTGCACTGTATCAAGCAAAAACGTTGACGAAGAAGGGTGTATTTATTTGCATTTCGCGCACTGTGTAAAAGTTGACCGCCACATCCGTTGACCAGCAGTCACTGTGAGCGGCGCCCCTTTTCCATATGCGACCTCCCACCAGTAAAACCCCTTTTCCCCGTACGGCTCTATATCTTCGATACTGTTTGGACAGTTTCTTCACAGCCCGCGCGTGACTAAGATTTCTAAGACATGTAGAGCTGTCGGAAAAACTCCGAGGTCGAAAGCCGTTGAATAAATGACGCAAGAAGATCACTGGAGTCTAGTGACTGGACCGAATAACTTAATGACTACCTTGTACATGGAGAGCGATTAAATTTTTGTGTAGCTTCTTTCAATACAAGACTAAGGTTTTGTTGTTGTGTTGTGGTGACGAATGGATGGCATATGAAGTGCAAACATTATCAATGATTTACTGTAGGTTTCGAGAATTGGCTTTTGTATGGTGTAGCGAAGACTGAAGGCCTAGTAATATGAACTTGACGATTAAGTGGAGTAGCAGCCCGTTATTTATCAACGAAATGGTCAATCTCAGTCGTTCAAAGTGAAACCAAGCTCGCGTTGCTTTTTCAGTTGTGCTTCCTGGCACGGCGACCAAATTTTCAAAAGAATCAATCGCGGCATCGCGATTTGTCGTAATAGATTATTACGACAAATCGCGTTAAGTTCCCAACCCACAACAGAATAGAATACAGTCGACCCTACGCATTAGTGCCGCCGTGTGTAAGGACTAATAATACGGCACTAATTCGGAGTATCTTTTTTCCATCTTGTTGAGCTAGCACAAGTCGAGAAAAATAAGTTGAAAAGTGACCTCATATGAGGTCATTTGTCACCTGGACACTAGAAAAGCTCGTTTTGCGGACCTCAAGTGCGATAAGGCATTGCTCACATCGCACTCCACACCCAGACTCTCCAAAGACGCAAACAACCTTGCTAGCACTACAGCACTCGGTACGGCCCGCCTCTCCGTAATTTCACACTCGTCTTCTGCCACACAATCATCCACCATAGCATCACTGGCAGACTGATTCCGTAGCTCTCCACCATAATGTATTGAATCGCAAGCATCACTAACGTCACCAAGTGAGCTGAGAGGCGCATGAGGAGTGAGTGGGCGATGACGACGTCGCGCATGACACGTGGCAGAACCTGTGTCTGCCGGTTTTGGCGGCACTAATTCGAGGGTGGCAATAATGAAAGCGGCACTATTTCGCTTCCCCCCCTGTACTGTATTCTGTTGTGGGTTGGGAACTTAACGGAAAGGATGTGAATTGTGCCAGACCAGCCGGAGTCGGGTTCTCCCTGGTTGTAAATAGAGTTTTTTATCATACGCGATATGCACCGTGATTTTAATACTGTACAATTACAGTAGGGGCAAAAGAAGCCATTGGCCGGATTAGTCGTCTGGCGTACACGTGTTGGAGGAGTGCACACAGAAGATGTGTGGAGCGGGCCTGGGCCGTGCTGCTTCCGAGTCATACGTGGGTCATCACTTGCTGGTCTTCCACAGGTGCCGGGAAGTGGACGGCGCTCTACGGAACTGCTTCAGGACACGCGACTTGCAATGCTGCCTCCGCACCTCCGAAACAGCACCTGAGGAGCATACCCTTCGAAGGGTACTGTACGCACCGCGATCCTGTTCCTGAGACACAACTATGAGGCCTCCGCCTTCGATCACTTTACGACTGTCCGCAAAACCTCTTCGACTCACCACCCGCCTCCCCCCTCCCCGCTACCCAACCCGTGCCATGCCACTCTAGAAGGGTAGTTCCAGTCCCCGTTCCCAGGCCGCTCTTCGCACCTTTCCCCGCCCCGCCTCCTTCCGCTGTCTTTCAGTCCGCTCCCCACTCTTTTCCTACCTCCCTACTTCTGCACATCCCCCCACCCCACACCACACCACACCGTCCCACCCCCCCTCCCCGCCCCTCGCTTACCCCCTCCCCCGCCTCCTGCCCCAGATCGTAATGGACAACCTCCTCCCCGCCCCCTTGGTCACCACCGAGCGCTACTTCGACCGCCCCACCTCCTCCCTCACCCCGACCTTCCAGACCTCGACCTCCACGCGAGACTCGATCCCGCACCAACCCCCGCGCTCGCGCCTCCTCCACCTCCACTTCTCGGGCCGCGACCTGCCGGAGCCGGACGCCCGCTCGCGCGCCTCTTACGCCGTCATCTACCACGCCCTGGAAGTTCCCGCCCGCCTCTCGACCGTGTCGGACGTGTCCATCACGCGCACTGCGCCCGACGCCTCCACATCCCGCGGCCCATCCGCCTCCATGAAGCGCCGCTCCTCCACGCCCGCGCTGGTGCGCGCCGTCTCCGCCCCCGTCTCCCGCCTCAAACCCAAGTCCTCCGCGCACCGCGCACCCGCCGCCGCCGCCGCCTTCGCCGCCCCCACTACCCCCGAGCACATCGTCGCCGACGACGGCACCTCCGTCATGCGCTCCGCCTGGACGAAGCTCGCCACTACCGACGTCGCGCGCAAGTTTGGCAGGGATGTCGAGTTTTCGAAGGCCTTCCCTTTCCACTATATCCCCGGCACGGGACAGGTCATCCGCGTCGCCTTCTTCGACTGCACGAGTAAGAAGGTCGAGAAGCAGCGCCTCATTGGCACCGCCCAGCTCAGAGTCAGCGCCGTCTACGCCGCGCAGGGGCGCCCTGTTACGTTTCCCCTCAAGTTTCTTCCCGTCAATGAGAAGGACGTCAAGCGTAGTAACAAAATCCCACACGGCTCGCTTCTCGTCACTGGGGAACGCATGGATGTGGAGCGAGGCATCTTCTATATCGACGCTGAGTGCAACCCCATTGTGCGCGCAAAGGCTCTGTCCTCTGCTTCTGTGAGAAGAATATTTTATACTATTCATGCCGTGCTTGACAAAAAACCGGATTCGGACTTTTGGACCTTGATCTTTCGCTCGGAGACCGTCGATAAGATTAATCGAAAACAGGATGGCGGCAGCTTGGAATACAACTATTTTACCAGCAGGCGGGTGGTGGCCAAACCAGGCTTCATTATTGAGGATGTTGATGCGAAGGAACGACAGAGGCAACTTCAATTTGCTAGAGGAGAGTCTGTCAAGTCACAAGGCAGTTTGTTAAACAAGGGCAAAAAGCTACTCGGCATCAAGATTAAGAAACAGTTCTTTTCACTGCCGAGTGCCAACTTGAATCTCGCAGGGGATGATATCAAGTTGAAATTGTCGCTTTTTGAAGACAAAGGGTCTGTGGGAGGGTTCGATCTCATTGCCGATACAGAGTTTCGAATCGCAGACTTGAGGTCTCGAGGGTTGGGAGAATCAGTACCTATACGGGTGCATTCCAACACTGTTGGGAAGGCCGTGCTCAAGTACGTCGAGTGCGGTCCCAACCCCACCTACTTTTGTTTGTCGCTTGAAATGCAGGGGCTACGGTAGCGGTTTTGAGGTTGCTGGTCGCGCGGAGGTTTGTAAATGGTAGATATGCAGCTAGTGCGCAGAGGGAATAGAGGGGTGTAGAAACGAGTCATGGACTTTTTATGAGCGGTTTGCACATAAAACCAGAGTTAGAAATCCAATACGATAGTAGTGATTTGCACCAGTTTCTTGAACAAGATACACGACAAATGAAAAATGTAGAAACTCAGTTTGACATCATTTGCGTCATGTACTTGCCCTGGGCAATAACATCCTGCAAAACATCGGGAGAGCAGTTTGAATAGACTGAGAGAGTAAGCACGCAGTGTGGTTTGAAATATACACAGTTGCTGCAAACGGGCATTTTTGGTTTCGAGGATAGACACTAGTGCAAAACGTTTCAGGGTTGCTTAATAGAGCTTCTTTGGCAGGTATTTGTAAACGACTAGAAAGGACATGCAGTTCTCAAGGACTGCATGTCCTTTCTAGTCGTTTGGTTTAGGGGTTTAGGGGTTTAGGGGATTAGGGGTTTAGGGGATTAGGGGTTTAGGGGATTTAGGGAACCTGTCCTTCCGCAACGCAGAAGTCAAGTACGGTGACGAAGGAATAACTTTAGTCCGTTTTATCGAGAAAGCAGATGTCCAGAAAAATTAAGTTGAAATTTAGCCTCATACGCGGTCAATTCGTCATCTGGATACTCAATGAGTGCATACGTGCAGTGTCATCGAAATTGCCAACCCGACTCGGAACACATAAACATGTAAAATGATATGCCTCTGTGGGGGCATTCCGAAGCGATAAGTGCATGTAGGCTGCAACTAGGGTTTAAGGAGCGGTAGGCAGGTTCCTGGGCCGGGTGTGTGGTGCGGGGGCTTTGGAACGGGTGTCCGAAACCAGTCTGGAACGGGTGTCCGAAACCAGTCTGGAACAGGAGTGTCACAAGAAAAAGTTCGGTAAATTTTAAAATTCCGTACAGTACCGTAAGGGTAGCGTACGATACGGATGAAAATGCTTTCCCGGCGCTTTTGTCTCCTGTGAACATACATGTACGCAGAGTCCGCCTCCACAATACTCTGCCATATTGCTGCCGGCCGTTAGCCTTTCAATTCCAGTCTGCCTACTCGCCTCCCTGTCTCCACTCCGCGACCGTTTCGGCTCGGCGACACGAGCCAGCGATCGTAGAGATGCGCAACCACCTTCATTGTAGCTTCCGCCCTCCACCGACCTACGTCGACCTACGTCGGTGTAGACCACTCTCACCCAGAAACCAGCCGCGCACTCTCAGATACCAGTGTTGAATACAAACCATAATGCTGACCCTACTTTCGCTAATAGCTACATCCGTCATCTGGCGGACCACTGCCGCCCTCCAGATGACGCTCGGCTTCGGCCAGCGAAAGTGCTTCTTTGAGGACCTCAGCGTCCATCGCCCTATCCTTCTCGACTTCCGCACGTCAGCCGGTCGGACGGACATGAGCGTCGACCTGTTTGTCACGGACCCCCGCGGCCACGTCATATACCACCAGATGGGCCTGACGCACAAGCATGCCACCGTCGAGCCCCCGATCAACCTGCTCGTCATGGGAGGAGAGCTGCCCGACGTGCTCCCGTTCCGATTCTGTGTCATGCATCAGGCAATGCCCTCGCAGATCGTGGAGAAGACGGAGCGCCGCATCGCGTTTAGTATTCGCTCGGGCGCGACGAAGGAGGAGAAACAAGACTTGCTTAGAGGGCACGATGTTGTGAAGACCGGGGGGAATTTGCGCAAGCTCGAGGAGGAAGTCTTGCGGGTGCTGGACAAAATTGATGTGCTTCGTGAACAGGAGCGCCTGCTTACGCTCAAAAATGAGGCAACAACTAGCTTTTTAACCACTTCGAGTTCTTTTTGCAGTTTGCTAGTTGTTCTCGTTGGAGTCTTGCAGGTTGACTACATTCGCGGCATTCTGAGGAAGCGCAAACTAGTGCGCTAACAGAAGGCTGCCCGGTAAATATCTCTCGGTAGCAGCCATACAACCTTTACACCCTCTTCGGCATTGAGCTCTACTCTCAGCCGTCGGAAGGAGTTTGGAGCACTTGGCGAAGAGCTTTTTTTTTCGTAGCTCTAATAGATATAATACAATTGCCAGTCTTCAACTAGTGAAGCGAATACCCATCTGCTGGCACAAATACTGTATTCTTTGTCTTCATAAGCAGACAAGCAATCTCTCAAACGATTTGACCGTGCCGATCAAAGTCATCAAGAACGGCCGGGGATCTCCTCAGGACCTTCTCGGAGATGTTATAAACACTGCAGAGGGATTAGTCCTGTGCACGATATCAGGTAGGCGGACGACTTCGTGGTACGGCTTTTTCGGTTTTGACTTTGTTCACACTAAGCCCTTGCGACAGGCTCGTGTGGCTCGGCAAAACTTGACCTTTACCTTCTGCAAAACTGGCGAGGCGTCCAAAGCTCCCCAGAGACCCTAGCGATCTTCGCATTTGCACGCCACTTCGTCTCGGTGCCGGCTTTCTCCAACCACGAGACTTGGCCGGGCTGCCATCCGCCAGCATCTTTTCGCTATGGAGCTTGAGCTCTCCGTGCATCTGATGCAATTGTAAATACCCGGCCGCGACAATGGCGACACAGCTAACAATGCCCATGAGCCAAATCTGCTGCGCTACACCCGTGGAGATATCAAACATCGCTTGCTCGCGGTTGCGAATGGTATCAATCTCCTCGATGACGGCGCCAACCGTGCGTTCAACCTTAGTGACAATGATCTGCATTTCGTTGACATCCTTCTGCAACGCCAGGCCCTTCGTCACGCTATGGGCCTCACCAAAGGCCTCGATAGCGTCGGGATCCGCAGCCGCGTCGAACCTGACGAGCACATTGCGGACGTCGTCCGGCGCGCCGCCCTTAACCGGCTTCCTCTGGAACACGCACAGCTTATACTCCGAGGGCGTGGACACGTTGTCGTGGCCATGGTGCGGGCCGCGCGGAGCAACGAGGGTGAACTTGTCGTGCTCGACCTCCGGCTTGGAGTGCAGGATCTCGTTGGTCGAGCCGACGAGGACCCAGAAGCCGACCGGCATGTCGCCCGGGCCGTCGGCGACGCGGACTTCGCCGCTGAGCGTGTCGCCGGCGGGCGCCGTCAGCATGAAGCATTGCGTGCCGCCGCGCCGCATGAGGAAGATGATGTGGTCGGGCTCTCCGCACGTGGCGGAGAGGAGGAGGAGCAGCGCTAGCGCGCGGAGGGGGGACGGAGAAAAGCATGGCGGCGCGGCGCGGCGGGAGGGGCGAGGTCGGATGGGGACCGGCCCCTCGTGGAAGAGGGGCGACCACATCGAGATGCGGCCGCGGGAGGGCGGGGGCAATCGCAGCAGTGGGGGATGCGCTTCACGCAGGCTGGCGGATGGAAGGCAGAGATCTAAACGGTATCTCGGCCTGGTGTCTGCCTGTAGGTGAGCATTGGGGTTGCTGTCTGCTCAACTGGAAGCATTACGTGTGGGGATGAAATTGCTTCTTTTCGGGTACATATTTGAGCCGAAACCAAGGCACCTTCGTGGCTCGCGCGCCACTGTCGAGGCTGGTCCTCTTCAAACCCGACTTTGCTCACAACTGCCGTAGCAGGCAGTTGTGAAGCCGCTTTCACGCGTTCGCATCCCATTGCCTGTCTGTACCGCGCCCTTGGATAAGACACACTTGAAGACGCCAGTCTTGCGCGCCCAGTTTCTACTGGCACAAGTAGCACAAGCGCAAGCCACCCTGCCAGACCTCACGACTTTGAACTACATTGCGTAAGACTGCAGGCAGGTCCCCGTCCCACTGCCCATCAGCCTCGCAGAATGAATATGCCCAATTTCTGGGCCTCGGGCCGGGTGGCCACCCTCGACTCGGACGACGACGCTTTGGAAATCGAAGGCCTGGACCTTATCGTTGCCGACCCAGACTCGAAAGGTATCACCTCCAATGATCCGGTCCCGTACAAAGAACTGGGTGATGCAGTAATTGACGCGAAGGACATATTCAAAGTCTTTGACCTGCCCGGCTGTAAAGGCCAGAAGATAACGGCTTTCCTGGGCATCTCGCTCTCGGTAGACTCTCGTACCAAGCCAATACGTGAGGGCGAGTTTGTCATGATTAGGGGACCGAGTGGAGGAGGGTAAGCACTGCATTGCGCTCAAAGACATGGTGTAATAGGATGCCTCAGCTTACTAACAAAACTCTCGCTAAACGCCGTTCTCGGCACTACGCGCTCTCGTCATCACAGAAAATCCACTCTCCTCCACGTATTCGGAACGCTCACACGCCCAAGCGGCGGCCGTTTGCGCCTCTTTGGCACGAATATGCAAACCATTCCCGAGCACCGTCTCCCCGACTTCCGATTGAATCGCATCGGCTTTGTCTTCCAAACCTTCAACCTGCTCGCCGCCCAGTCTGCTTTCGAAAATGTTGAGCTCCCGATGATTCTGTCGGGCAGGCTCAAACGCCTTGAGAGGCACGAAAAGACCGCAAGACTCCTCAAGGAGGTCGGGCTCGGCGACCGCGCAGACCACCTCCCTTCCGAGCTGTCCGGCGGCGAGCAGCAGCGCGTAGCAATCGCGCGCGCCTTGGCCAACAAACCCGACCTGCTGCTGCTCGATGAACCGACGGGCGACCTCTCCAGCGCCGACACTTGCGAGATCATGGACCTACTTCTGCGCGTCAACGTCGAGAACCGCACGACGTGCGTCATGGTGACACACAACGACGACTTGGAGTGCTACGCAGACCGGGTGCTGTACCTCGAGGAGGGGCGTTTCTCCCGGCAGCGGCTCAACTCGGAGCAGAGGCGGCTCGATGCAACCAAGTATGCCGCCTATCTGACTAGCCAGGAGCGCAACGCAATCAAGGACGAGGACGAGGTGCTGTAGCGCGGCCTACCTCTCGGACACAAGCCCGTCGCCGTTCGCGTAGCGGCGCATGCTCTCTATGACGGCGTTGTCATGTGGTGCGGGCGCGGGCTGTTGGCCGAGGACCCACTTGAGGACATCGGGCGTGTCGGCGTCGAGGAGCGCCTCGACCATGGGGACTTGGGCAGGGGGGAGCGAGGGGACGTGCTTGGCGGCCCAGCCGCCGAAGAGGATGTCGAGCTCAAGCCAGCCGCGCTGGCGGCTGCGGTAGATGATGCGACGTTGGCGGGGGGTCAGGTTGGGCGGCATCGCGGCGCCGGATTGGGGCGCGCGCAAATGCTCGGAGCGCCACGTGGGGGTGCAGAGAGGGCGGGCTAGCGTGGAAGGCCGGAGGAGGCACGATGCGAGGGAGAGGGCGCGGGGGTTCATTGTTGCGAGGAAGGACAAGCTCGGGGAGGAGGGAGAAGAAGGTGTGCTTTGTGGTCGGAGGGTGAGGGGAGGGGGTGAGGGACGGGGGGGCTGAGGGACTCCTCCGAGAGCACAAGGGACATTTCTGTCCAATGACGATTTGTAATAAATAGTGTGACTACTTTTCAAGACGCCCACGGGCACTCCTTCTTCCACTTTGATCCGCTAAGTCGATCCCACTCTCTCCCGTCAGTTCGTATTGGGTCCCGTTAGTTCGTATTGGGTCCCGTTAGTTCGTATCGGCATCAATGATTTCCCCTCCGTCCCCGATGGCGCACTTCTCCATCGACGCGACGAAGCGCGAGGCCCTCACCGCCTCACGCGCCGAGGAGCTGCTGCGTGACCTGTCGGCCGGCATCACATCGGTCAAACTGTCCGGTGTCAGCTTTGGAGACGGCTCTGCCCCCGTCGCCGCCGAGGCCCTGTCTCGTGCCGCGGCTACGCTGCGGGACGTCGACCTGTCTGACATTATCGCGTCGCGCCCCGAAGACGAGGCCAAGCGCGCGCTGACCGTCATCGCCGATGCCCTGTCCATCTGCGACGCCTTGCGCTCGCTCAACCTGAGCGACAACGCCCTAGGCGCGAAGGGCATCCGCGCCTTGGGCTCGCTGCTCGCGGGACGCGCCGAGCTGCAGGAGCTTCTGTTGTGTAACAATGGCCTCGCGGCAGACGCAGGCGATTTGATCGCTAGCGCCGTGCTAGAGACGGCGCCGACAAAGCTGAAAAAGTTGCACTTTCACAACAACTTGCTCGAGACGGCGGGCTCCGTAGCGCTGGCGCCGATCGTCGACAACTCGCCCATGCTCGAGGACTTTCGGTTTTCGAGCTTGCGACTGGGGCGTGACGGGTCGGTGCGCATCTGTAAGGCGCTGCACCCGCGGCTTGGTGAGACATTGCGCCACCTCAACTTGTCGGACAACACGTTTGGAGAGGAGGGGGCCGAGGCGTTGGCAGACGTGCTTGGGGATGCAGCGGTGTTGGAAACGCTGCTATTGCGCGACGACGCTCTCGGTGATGACGGGGTGCAAGCCGTGTGCAAGGCCCTGGTGCATGGGGCGCCCAGGCTGTTCAAGTTGGATGTGTCTGGGAACGAGATGGAAGCGGGCGCGGCGCGACAGTTGGGCAAGCTCGTTAGCGTAGGCAGATTGACAGAGGTGCTGGCAGAGGACAACGAGCTAGGGAGCTCGGGGGCTTGCGCGCTGGCGCGCGAAATTTCGGAAGAGGCGCGAGTGGAGGTGTTGGACGTGAGCAGTTCGGAGATCGGGGGGAGGGGAGCGCTGCGGCTGGCAACGGCGGTGCAAGAGTTGGAGGGGCTGAAAACGTTGCGGATGGACGCGAATTGTATTCCGCGTAGCGTGGTGGAGCAAGTGGAGGAGCTTTTGGGGGAACGGTTGGGTGGGTTGGAGGAGAACGATGAGGAGGGCGAGGAAAGTGAAGAAGAGGAGGACGAGGAGGACGAGGACGCTGAGGATTAAGATTGGCGAGACTAACACGAGCGCTTAAGTACGATTAAACGAGAATACGCGGCGTTGCTCCACCGCGTGCGTGAGACGCTGGACTAGGAGATGGAACGCTTTGGCGATAAGCATGCACAACAAACTGCGATGCGTGTGCGCCTAGTTTCGAGCGCCCAGGGGTTGTCGCCTTGCTCATCGTTCTGCCGCCCCTTCCCTATCGTCTCTTCTGTGAAAACATCGCGCAATCAAAACCGCCGGGTACGTGCCCGTTTACACCCTTACCCCCCATTGCCCCTTCACCGTCCCACACCTCACCCCCGTTTACACCCTTACCCCCCATTGCCCCTTCACCGTCCCACACCTCACCCCTGCTGCACCAAGTCCCCTCCCCTCCGCCTCCGCAATTGCTCCCCACCTCCTGCGCCACGGGGCCTCTCCCTCGCAATTCCTTCTCTTCACGCCCTCCCCCCGTGCCCCCCTTGTCGTCCTTATACATGGCGGCTTCTGGAGGGCCAGGTACGGGCTACTTCCCCCCACCGCTGCATTCCATTCACTCGCTCCCTCCCTGCATGCGCGCGGCTACGCGGTCGCCCAAATCGAGTATCGCCGCGACGGAGACCGGCCCTGGGGCTACCCTCACTCCAACAACGATGTCCTTGCCGCCTATCGTCTCGCCACCGCCCAGGATATCGACCTCGCCCGCGTCGTCGTCATCGGCCACTCGGCGGGGGGTACGATGGCCCTCTGGCTGGTCGCCCAATGTGCCCGTGGGAAGGCTGTGCGACCGGTCAGGACCTACGCGCTGGCGCCTGTAGCGGATCTGGTGTATGCCGCAAGGCTGCGGTTGAGTGACGGGGGAGATGCCGTGCAGAGATATGCAGGAGGTGAGCCGCATGAGGTGCCCAGAAGTTATGAGGGAGCCTGTCCGATGTTTTGGGCTGCACAGCTCGTGGAGGGGGTGACTTTAGCCGTGGGGAGGGCCGATACAGATGTGCCTGTTGAAGTTGTCGAAAGGTTAGCGGAAAGGATTGGGAAGGTCGAGGGTCAGCGGGGTTTAGAATATTGGGTGCTGGAGGAGACGAACCATTATCAAATCGTGGACGCTGAGACCCCAGCGTGGCGGGCAATAGCTGATGATATCGACAGACGTCTCCAGTGATCCACGGCCTGGGATGTGCAACAGTCTCTACGCACGTCTGACTGGCCCCACGCGATTCCTCCCCTGCAGGCAAGTCATTGACGACTTCAACCGTATTATGATCCCCGAAACAGTCCAGGCCCAAGCACACAACCTCGCCTTCAATAAAATATACCGCGAGACTAACCAATTGAACGCATCCTCAGCCTCTCTTTCTACATTTTACTGCTGTTCTCCTATTCAACAACTGTTGAAAAACGTATGTTGTTACCTTCCCTCCCGAAAATGTTGTTGCTCAGGAGCGACAGCGCTCTCGTAAGTCCTAAGCTGCGAGCACCATTTGCATTTTTTGCTTCAGCTCATCCGGAAGAAGAGCAATCGCTCCTTGTAGCACTTCTACTGGGTATTTCGATTCTAACCCCTTGATCACATCAACGGCTGGCCGTGTGGCCGATTCTTCTAGCAACTCCGTCCCTAGCACACTCAACAGTACAAAAAGAATCCTCGGCATATTTGCCGCGTTTTCCCCTAATATTCTTGTGTCCCCTGCTTGTACGAATCGCACCAGAGTGGCGTGCATTAGTTTCGCTTCAGCAGTGTCTGCCTCAGCCGGTAAGTACTCCAGTATCAATCTCCCGTAAGACATGGCATTGTCGCCCAAACACGCAGGTTGGTACTCCATAATTTTCAGCAGCGCTGACACAGCATTGTCTGAGGCCTGCACTGCAACCTCTGATCGTGCATTCGGATCCCGAATCACTTTCTCCAGGTCATGTACGACAGCAGAACCCGCCGACGACATGAAAGCTTCCCCACCCACCTGCGCGCAGATACCCACTCCGAACGCAGCTGCTTGACGCACATCAGCATCCTGATCCGTGCAGTACGCTTTCATTGCTGGAAGCGTGTCACTGATTACACTCACGCCTTCAGCGCCACCATACATGATGAGATCATCAAACGCACACAAGGCAGCGTATCGCTCGTAAGCCTGTCGCGATGCATGCATCCGAACCCAAAACATTTGCATCGTTGAGACTGCATCAGTTCCCTCACCAAGCTTGTTTGGCATCCTGAACGCCTGCACAAATCCAGATTTTGAGTGATTCTTCAACAGGGCTCCGGTCGTTGTCGCCGCCTTTTCCAAAAGTTCCTCCTCCTTCTGCTCATCACCCTCCGCATCTTCTTGAGCCTCCTCGTCCCATTCTTCTTGTTCTGCCAGCTGCTCGCGTTCTATGTTACGAGCTTCGCTCTCTAAGAGAACAGTTGACAAAGCTTGCGCGGCCGGAACCATGAGATCTGGGGACAGCCCAGGGGCAACGACAAGTTCAGCAATACGACCAAGTGCTTGCACCATGTGGACCAAGACCTCGACGTCTGGTTCTCCTTTGATAGCATCAATGAGTGGAATAGTCATGTACTGCGCCATGCGGACAACCTGCGCGCCTGTTGGGTCTTTTCCGGACTCCATAACGCATTTGATAAGATCTGGAAGCGCATTAGCAGCAGCTGTTCGGCATTCATCGTGGTAGAAAAACTTCAGTAGAGGAACCATGAGTTCTGTTACTGGTTCTACATAGTCATAGAACCCACCACCCAGTTCAGCAATGAAGCACGCAAGCATAGTGCATGCAACTGCTTTGTCTTCAAGTACAGACGTTCTAATGCTCAACCTCTTGTCCCCTAATTGCACTGTTTCGTAGCCATCTGCTGGATCCTCTGGTGGTTCTTCGTCTTCCTTGATATCTCGGACTTGAATATCAGGCTTTTGCTGTGCGGCTTGCAGCAGACCCGGCATAACATGAGGCAAGTACTGAATGAAAGCACCCTTCAAGCACCGGCAAATCCGTGCGTACGCTTGCATCAAGTAGAACGCTTGTGGGTCTTCGGGGTCTTCCGATTGCGTGGCAGCGGTGCGAACAAGCATGTTCATTACTTCAGCAGCATCCGGACCGAATTTCGCGGGGCCGACACTCAGACCCACCAGCGAAATGCACTCCATGACCTTCCCCCGCAGCTTTCTTAGCTCCTTGTTCCCGGCTGCTGATGCTAATACTTGCTTGAGCCGAGGCATAAACCAATCGTAGTATTTGACAAACTGCTCTTCCGCAGAGTCTGCTACTGCCGCAATGGCAGTGACAGCCTGTTCTTGAGTAATACGATGCGGGGAATGAAGCAGAGCTTGAAGCTTGCCCAATAATGCATCAAGATAAGGAGCAATTATGTCGGGAGTAGCTTCATCACAGAAGTTGATCACAGCAGCGGCGGCATGGCTCTGCACGCGTGGGTTGCCGGCATCGTCCATGACAAGAATCAAATGCGACACAATCTTCTGGTGGAAATCCGTTTGGATGCGAGGGCCAAAATCGGTACACATCTGTCCAATACAATTAATAGCTGCCCAACGAACGCGGGGATGAGGGTCTCTAAATCTGGCGAGTGCAAGGTCAATGACGTCACCAAGCTTCGCTTCAATCTGCTTTTGGCAGCCTTCTCCAATCTGAGAGATAGCCAGCAAGGCGGCGTGACGATGCGCCCATGAGCTCTCATTGTTCAAAAATGACGGGATGATAGCCTCAGCGATGGGGAGCACAGCCTTGCCCCCCAATGCAATAGCAATGCGATCCAAACTCTCCTGACCGCAATCGAAAAGCGTGTACTCCGAGGTATCCTCGTCTATCTCCTGCTTGTACCATTCTTGATCATCCTCCCTCGACAGCATCATCTGCAAGCTAACTGGAAAGACGTTCCGGACAAAAGTGCCCATCTTCCTGCACTGCGACGGGAGCTTCTCCGCGACTGAAACCAGAAATTCGAGGGCCATCTGGCGCGGACTCGATTCATCGCTAAGATCATTATTCGAGGCAATATTAAGCATGAGGGTGCAGACGGCAGCCAGATCCTTTCGCCAAAACTTGGGCTCACTTTCCACAACATCAATCAGCAACTCAATGGCCTGACGCGCATCGTCATCGTTCCCCGCAGCGACTGCCTGCTGCACGGGTCGAATCATGAGCGGAACCAAATCGACAAACTCATTGCACAGATAACTCTCCAACAAGCTAAGCTGGCTACATGTAGCCCTCAGACCGGCCATCTGGACGCCTGGGTCAGCATCAGCCAGTCCCGTTTGGAAGGCGCTCTTCAAGGTAGCGAGATGTGGTGCAAAAACCTTCTGGTCAAGCACATCGGCGAGCTGGGAAAAAACGTACAAGGCACTCTCACGCTCATAAGCGATAGAACTCCTGCTGAGCTCGAACAAAGTGGGGAGGAGCTCTGGCCATTGCGAGGGCTCGCGATCGACTAGCGGTGCGCCGATCTCGGCGATGGTGTCGCACAACTTTTTCCTGAGATCCTTGCGGCCGTCGGCGCGAATCCCCAGCAGTAGGCGTGTCTTGACGTTGTTCCTTGTGAGTTCATCAGCGCCACCCCACATGTCTGAAGCGCTGCGACGAAGCAAGACGGCGGCCGTGGCGCGGACAACTTCGTTGACACCGACCGAGGCGGCGAGGGTGGAGAGGGCGTCGAGACAGAGGCCCTTCTGTTCGACGGCTTGGTTGTACTCGTTTTCAGCGATGCCGCGTGAGGTGTTGTCGGGGCTTTGCAGACGCTCAAGGATGTTGTGCATTTGCTGGGCGGCGGGGGAGAGGGCGACGGCGGGCATCTGGATGCCATTCGGATGCGACATGACGGGAAGGGGTCAGAGGTCGCGGGGATCACAGGTGCAGTGGAAGGTGATCCAAGAGGGGGTGGTAATGGTGGAGGTGGAAGGTGAATGCGGAGTAAGGGGGGAGGAAGGGAGGAGGAAGGGGAAGGGGGGCGAGAATGAAAAGTTAAAGTGGCTTGAATGAAAAGTTAAAGTGGCTTGAGTGTAGCTAATGGGGTGGAGGGGTAGAATCTATGGGTGGGACAGCGACGACCACAACTGAAGGAGAGGTGGAGCCGAGCCGAGGAGAAAAGGTGAGTCGGGAAAGGTAGGTAAGGATGGGATAAGGCAGGAGGGATTGAAAGAAACCGTAAACGGATGAGGGAGGGGGAGGGTAGTGTGTGGTACGGGAGGAGGGCGCCGCGGCGAAGGGCAAACGACACGGTGATGAGAAAAGTGGGTGACGGACGGGGGGGGGGGGGGGGGGGGTTTTTTCACAAAAATTAAAATCCAACGCGGGGCCAGAGGGCCCCCGGAG